GAAATAAGAATAAAGATTATACATTTTTTCTCTTATTATTAAAAAAAGAGGTTGTATGGTAGAAAAATTCAAAAGCAGTTGAGCGGTTTTTGACAATTTGAATTTCCCGTTGAAAAGCCGAATATATTTTGTTACCCAGTGCGGAAACTACCTTTTTACCCACGACCAATGATTCATAAATGTTATGTGACGAATGGGAATGGGCCCACTCTGTATTCATGTAATTAGTTGGGTTTGGAGCCCACAGTTGTTGTGTGGTCTTGGCATCTTGTTTGGAGATATTTTAATTCAAATTGTGGCCCAATTACTCTTTAAGTTTGGCAATCAGTCTATGAAAATATATTTTATCACATTTTTTATTGAATACAAAATATATTTACTTCAATTATTATGTTTTAATTTTACATCAAATTACAATTAAAAAATGACGTTTCTAAAAAATTAACATTACACCATTAATTCGATCTGCTTTTTTAACTATCCCATTCAAAAATATCACAATATAAATTTTAAATTAAAAATCAATCATTATTATAAAGTTTACTATAAAGTTTATTATTCATTATGTTATACAACTGTAGGAAATACATAATTTTCAAGTAACATAACAATATTTAGAGAGAAAAAAGTTAATATGTCTAAGACTAAATTATTTTTAATAATATATAGATAGATTAAAATATATATATATATATATATATATATATATATCCAATTGCACAAAGTGGTTACCTAATTAAGATAATAATTTTGGTATCTTCATCCATCTTTCCCTTTCTTCTGGCCTTATTGCTTATTGGTTGTTGTTTGGTAACTTCCACGGTATTCGGTCTTCCATTTACAGAATTATTGAAAGGTTGGGTTTAACTTGCTCCTAACTTAATTTCATTTTATTAGGTTGGAGTTAGTATATAAAATACAAATTAATAATAAGTTAACATTATGGAATATAATAATATAAGTTAGAGTTAGGTTTAACTTTGCAACTAAGCAACTAGTGTGTACCCCATGCGATGCACGAGAACAATATTAAATTAACAATGTTATAAATAGATCTCGAGTTTGAGTCACTCAATGGCGGAAGTGGAAACTACTATTGATCCTATTTAAAAAGAGGAAGAAAAAATAATAATATAAATTAAAGAGGAGGATAAACAATACTTAATAATTATAAATTAAAGATTCGGGGTCAAACAATGTAAAATTATTATGTATAAGAGAATATAAAAAAATTTGATTACACACCATTTCAAAATTATTATTATATTTTTTTGTATGGTTAGCTTATAATATTTGTAAAATATTAGTAATTAGATCGATGAAAATTAGCTTCTTAAAGTAGATAATGGATTTCTAGTAGTAATTATGAATTGATTTCTATTTTATTGTATTTTTTCTTTTTAAAGATAATAGATTTCTAGTAGTAATTATGAATTGGTTTCTATTTTATTTTATTTTTTCAAATATGTATAGATAAGGGATGAGATTTTTTAAACACATGAAACGTATGCAATGAAATTTTGTAACATAAGAGATAAGCTCGTGTAGATTTATACTAAAAATATGAAAAACAAAACAAATATTTATTGTCAAACAACGGTTTTGATAAACTAAAAAATAGGAAAAAGAGAAACAAATCTTTACACAATTAATGAACCAATTTATTTGCCTATTCAGATTTGTCCAACAATTACTATATATAGGATATATTTAATGATTTTAGCGGGAAAAAGTTTCTAAATTTGTAAAAAGGTTAATCTTTTTATATAATGATAGATTTCCTCTGAATCAATTCAAAATAAATCTTCCACTTTTTAAATTCTTTACTTTTATTTATGGGCCGGGTTATCGAGTTATTATCACAATTCAGGGGCGGAGCCACCCATAGGCTAGGGTAGACTCCAGCCCCAGGTAAAGAAAAAAAAAAAAAGAAAATTTAATTTACATTTTAGATTATTATTGTTATATAGTCCTATATACATTTCTAGTTTAACCCTTGAATTAGCCCAACAAGACAACAATAAAGCCCAAAAAATTAAAATTCAATGTTGGGGTTGCTAAAACCGGTAGAAGTACAACTCTCACTCTTCTCACACACTTTAACACGATTCTCAATCTCACACAAAATAGACGACGGCTCCTTAATCGGTTTCTCTCAAGCCTCTGCGAGACTGCGACAGTGAACGGCGTATTTTCCATTCGGAATTGCGAAGAACGGGGAAGCTAGACCTTTGGGCTTCGAGGATTGAGCAGCGGGCGGCAATCGGCAAGTCAGCGGGACCAAGAGTAACTCCGAGCCCGAGGTAACGACGGTTGAACTTGAATTGAATTAGTTTATTGAGTATGATTTGAAATCTAGTGTCATGTGTGAATTTTGTGAATTAAACTGTGGTGAGTGTGGTGACTGAATTTGTTCAATTGTTTCTGCTTGTATATTATCTTTATTCTCTAATTTGTCTAAGTTAATTTAATTTTGATAATTTTGGTTTGTCTCTTTGTTTTGTCATATGTAATTGAATCTTGAAAGCTTAATTGTTTTTCTCCCATGGCCTATGGCTATGCCTTTATTTGTTTTGTTACAAGTTTTGAAAATTTATGTTGAAGTTGAGATCAATAAATAACATGTTCTTAGCTTAATTATATGTGTTAATGCTTGTTGGTCGTGTACTCGATGCTTTAAAAGGTGGATGCTTGTTTGACCTTCATAATAAGAAGATTGTGTAAAAAAACCCACAAATCGTTCCTNTTTTTTGTATTTTTTAGTTTGTTTATATCATCCAAATGCTTGATTAATTTATTTCTTTTCGTTAATTTGATAGGTTTCAATCATAATAGAAGGTCAAGGTACGAAGAAAAGAAAGACTATCAATTCGTTCTTTAAGCCAAAAGAGCATACGTCGACAAGCGGAGATCGTCTTCAATGATGATGTTGTCGCCTCTATTGATAAGAGTTCTTTTGAACGTGACCCGTCACTACGTACTCCAATATGGAAATATCCCATTTGATGAAATAAGACAAGCGTATTCAATGGTTACGACAACTATTTTGACTCCAATATGGAAATATCCCGCTTCCATTTTGACTCTCTCTTTGTTTACGACAACTACAAAACGAGCGTTTTCAGCTATGAAACTTGTCAAAACAGTTCTTCGTAATAAGATGGAAGAAGAGTTTTTGGCGGATTCAATGGTTATTTACATTGAAAAGGAGTTGGTCGAAAAGATTAGTAATGATACTATAATCGCCGAGTTTGAAATCTAAAAAGAATCGGAGATCGCTGTTTCATTAGCTCCAGCCCCAGGTATTTTAAAATTCTAGGTTCGCCCATAATCATTATGTTGTGAAATTTTAATATTGTTGCTACTTTAAACCATGATATTAATTATGACACTCTAAGAAGACACAACTTGCAAGTGCACATTTAATTTTTGCCACTTTTTTGAGTTGAAACTGAAAAATGGGATAAACTCCATGCATATATTCACTTTGTGGTAGTAAAAATGGAGCTCACAAACGAATAACCGACAAATCAACAGTGAGTTGTAATTTTAATATCTCAGTCCAAAATAAAATTAGAAAAATACTAAGATTTTTTTTTTTCTCACTTGTTCTTAGAAGGTGAAATTCACTTGAATGGAGGCAAAATTTATGGAATGGCCATGCATGCTCATGAAATTAGTCAATTATTGGTGTTGCCATAAAGTAATAGAGGCATGCCATGTGACAGTGGTTTATAAATCATTATATTGTTGATAGAAGTGTAACACCAACAATTATGTAATTGTTCACTCTTTATTTTCCATGCAAATATATCTATGCCTCTCAATTTTGAAAGCCATAAAAGTAAGATATTAATTTATTGTCCACTCTTTCCGAAAGTAAATAATACCCGCCTTCCATTTTGGATTTGCTTTTCATCTAGAAAGGAGAGAACGATTTTATACGCATCTTATGTTAAGCAACTAGTATTCGATCCTACACATGCACGGAAGAAAATATATATATTATATGTACGTATATTATATTTAAAAATTTAAATTAAATAAAGTGTGTATTACGTTTTAAAATTTTGACTATATGTAAATGTATAATATAAATATAAATTATTTAACTTCTTTATAAATCAATTATTTTTTTATTGTATAACTATATTACAAAATAAGAATATTAACTGTAAAATAATTTAATATTGCATATTCAACAAAATTTAGAATCTTGTAAAGATGTTACAAAATAAAAAATTAATAGTAATAAGGTTTTACTTGTGTAACTGTCATTTGAATGCTGATCATAAAGATTTTTATTAAATGAAGTTCTAATTTTATTAATTGGTGACTGAATAAAATTTATTGAAATTTACCAGCAATTATATATATATATATATATATAATTTACCAGAAATTTACCAGCAATTTTATTTAATTCTTTAATGGATGCTTTTTAGGTGGTTTTTTTTAACTCAAACTCACAAAATCAATCATTTACACATTTTTATTTCAAAATTCAACTAACACTTAACTTAACCTAACTTTCATCAATATTATCAATATAATTAAATAATACCAATCAATTATCCTCACACATCAAACTAATTTTAATTTGCTATTTTTTATCGCCAACCAATCACCCCTTAAGGTTTTGCCTGTTGACAACTATAAAAACATAATATTTCTCAAATCCTTGCAACAAACATATTCAAACGCAAAACAAAAAAATTTCACCAACACAAATTTCTTGAAAATCATCATCGCTCTCATAACTTTTTTCTCCTAAAAATAAATAGAAAGCAATGCAAAAAATTGTAAAAATCAGCACAAAACAAAATAATGATAGCTTGATAGATATATATAATAACACGATGATGATAATTTACGCAAGACCACCGTCACAATAATACAACTACGACCAATCAACTTCAAAACAATAATAAATTATCTTTTCAAAACAATAATCAACTACATTAAAAAACATAAAAAAAACTATCAACAAAAGTGATACGAACAAAATTTAAAAAATAATATGAAGCGCGATTAGCTAAAAAAAATAAAATAAAAAACAAAGATACAGTATGAAGCCGCAAAAACAAAAACAATATTATTCTACTTCTTTCAAAAATTTTGACATCTAGCAAAACACCAAAGCAAACATACACAATCTCATTGAGACCGATCACCAAGTTAAACAAATCAAACCCGCCTCTCTGATATTTAAATCCAACCATATTCCGAGTCTCAATCGAAATTCAACCCGTAACCTTCTATCGAAATTTAAAAACCGAGCAGCCACCCGAAAGTGTCAATTGCCAAAAGTACATAGAAAAAACATGGGGAGGAGAAAAGTGAGTAAAAAAATAATTGATTTCTAACTTTTTTTTTAATTTTAAAATTAATTTGATTTATATCTCTTCAATTTTTTCTTTAAATATGTTTGGTATCAGTTCTAGCAATTTTAGAATACTAGGGATAATGTATTTTTCTATAAAATATTTTTTAGCAATTTTAGAATACTAGGGATAATGTATTTTTCTATAAAATATTTTTTTAATAGATGCGTACTTATGAAAATTTACTTAGAACTAGGCATGTTAAAATGGGCCTGAGCTCGGACCACCCTGCCCCATCTCGCCTAAATAGTGGGTTGGGCCTTCATTATAAAGGCCCGTAAAGGAGCGGACCTAAACGGGTTGGCCCGTACAAGCCGCTTGTTTGGACAGGCGGGATTGGCCGCGGACCAGCCCATCTTTAGATGAAAAAACAAAGTTTTGCCTGAACGAAAACGCGTTTTGGGTTACGGCCCCAACAACCAAAAAATTGTTTTTGATTTGGGCCAAAAAAAAATGTTTTGAGCCTACCAAAAAAGGCCTTTAATAATTCAAATTTACATTCACGTTTTCAATTTCTGTCCATTTTTCAGAAAAAACAACATTAATTAAACAAAATAGACTGTTAAACAGACGCGAAAAAGAACCCGATAAAAGAAACCTGAAACGAGCGGCGAAACGATAGAAAAACTCAGAAACGGCGGCGAGGCGGCGGCACGGCGAGAGGCAAAAGGCGAGGTGGCGGCACGGTGAGTGGCGACTGCGTGCGGCGAGTGTTGTGGCGGCTGCTCTGCGAGCGAGACCGACGAGCGGCGAGGGTGTCGGCACAGCACACAGAGTGACTCCGGCTTTGAGCGGCGAGGCAGGTAATCTGATGGCTGAACCCTTAACTGGATAAGCCCTTTTGTTCCCCTCAATTGCCGACGCCCCACGACGGGTTTTGGCGGGTTGAGGACTGACCTGGCCCGCCGGCCCCCGTTTGACTTTTTAGAGACAACAACATTACAAGTTTCAACTTACAATTTCAGTAAGGTTTTCATTTTTCAACTACAATATTCAAAAATCACACTTCTATGCTAATGGCTACAGCTTGCATCAGCCCTCACCTTCACTGCCAAATCCTCTCGTAGCTCAGCTCTGCAATCTTCTCGGCATCGTGGTTTGTGAATTTGTGAATTATGTAGCTAATATATGGAAATAGTATCTAACAAGCAGCTTTAAGAACCGTAGCCTAGAATTATTATCGTTATCCTTGCAATTTTCCCTTTGTTTTTATTATTATTATTATTATTGTTTTTCCATTGTTTTTAGCAGGTTTAATGGCGGGTAGAGTGAACCGTAATTGCCAGGTATGCGGCAGCGACATTGGTTTCACCATGTTCGATGATGGCTTCTTCTATTGTGGATATTGCAACTCTCAGGCAGATGATATTGTAGACACTGGGGTCGATGAGGACCAGCTTTTCTCCCAATACTCCTCCAATTTCACTCGGTCCCGCCGGGCCAAGCCCAATGAAGCTGCCGAGCCCGAGCCCGAGGTAAAACTCAACACTTCTCAGTATTTGGACCATATTGATGTTCCCATGGATGACTTGGGGGATGTGGGTGAGGGTGAAGATGGAGTTGGGCCGACCGAGCCCAAAGACTTTGGCTCGTCGAAAAAGAATTTTAGCTATGAGGAATATTATTTGGAGATTAGGTCAAGATACTTGGCTGGGATTCAGATTATGATTCAATTGCAGTGCAAGGCTTTGGTTGAGGAGTTTAGTGTCAGTCCTTTGATTGTTGGGCTTATTGGGCCTCTGTGGCTGAGGTACTTGGCTTCCACTGGCGTTATGGCTGACGAATGGGCCGATCGTGCTGTTCATGATTCTGAGTCTCAGCCGCAAGGTGCGCCCGACACTTTCTTTTAAGAAATTTGAAGGGATCTTTTTATTTTTATTTTTTAGTCGTCCTTACTTAATTACTTGTTTAGATCACAACACCCATTTTCCACTTACTTTGTTTTGATCACAGCAAGCCTTTTTCACCGTTGTTCGTGGTACTTATTGTTTTATCTCTTTGCCCGGCTGTTGTTACCTTTATACTTGTCAAAGTTTTCAGTATGATAGTACTTGATATTATTTCGGTCATTATTCAAAATGCAAACAAAGCATATGTTAGTATTAGTGTATTCAAGGTGCATAATGGTATGCAATTGGTTTGAATTGGGAGAACCTTACTAGATTATCTACTAGAGTTCAGTTATTAAATTTCAAAACAACTAGTCAGAAGATTTTGATTCTGCATTGAAACTTAGTCATTAGCCGAAGGATATGCAGCATTACGAAAAAATTAATAAATAAAACCATTAGAAAAAACCTACATTATAAATTACAATAACAATCCGCGGAATGGTTTTGTTTACACACACTCTACAATCTCGATTTCAATTCCTTCTTCTCTTATGCAATGCTATTATTTAACTTACCTTCCCCAAATCCCATTTTTGCAGGTGAAGCTGATGAAATTCAGCCGAGTGCCTCAAACCACGGGGAGCCTGTAAACATTCATGGGAAAAGTGTGGTGGAAATATGGCAGAGTTCCCTCAGAAAAACAATAGCCATACCTTGTACCTTAGCTATTTCATTCCTCGCTTGCCTTATTGCTCGTGAGCCAATAACGCCATCAGACATCGTGAGGTGGGCCGTCGAGGGAAAATTCCCATATTTTGCTGCTTTTCGAGATATCGAAAAGCAGCTGGGGCCCACTTCCGAGGCTTGCCCGATTCGTGCAAGTGTCATGTTCCGGCCTGTAAGGGTCATCTCATCTCAAAGACTCGAGTCAATGGCGGCTGGAATTGCACAGAAAATTGGCTTGGATTTGCCTCCGGTGAACTTTTATGCTATTGCTTCGCGTTATCTTAAAGAGTTGTCTCTTCCTGTAGAGGAAATACTTCCTTTTGCGTGCCGTGTGTGTGAATGGTCTTTGCCGTCTGAATTATATGTTTCGGCGAACGAGTTTCGAATTCCCACTCGCGCATGTGTCATGTCGATCATTGTTGTTACATTAAGGATTCTTCTCGACATTAATGGGTATGGGGTGTGGGAATCGAGTTTGTCTGACGATGCCGGTTGTTCGTCATCGAAGAAAACGTTCAGAAATGCAGTTTTGAAATCCGACACTTTACAGCCTTCTGGATTGAATGATAAGAAGCTGTTAAGTCTGCTTGAAGCAAAATATGATGAGCTTGACAGTTTGCATGGTACTCTTTTAGAATTTAAGTGGGATAGGTTTTTGATATTCATGGTTATTTTTTTTATTTTTTCTTTATGTGGGATGTATGAGTTGACTGAGGTTTTGACTTCTTTACCTGTGTTTTTGAATGCAGCATATTCCAATGACTTGTTGTCATACCTCAGTTACTGTAAGGACGTGGTGTTTTCAGGATTTCAGCCGTCTTATGAGGATATTGAAGAAGAAAAGCTGGTGAAGGATTTATGGGATTTTTATATGAATAACAAGGTACCTTAGGTCAATTCATACTCTATTTTTTTGAGTTACTTGAATTGACATCACCATTATCTTATTCATTCATGCATCCATGTGAGTTGGTCAAGAACTTCCCATTTTGTATCTATCTTATCTTAGGGGATGCTTGGATACAAATTTTTCCAAACAATTCCAATCATTTTTATCCAATCACTTTTTTTTAACTCAAATCTAACTCAACTTTATCTCAATCCCACTATCTTCAATATTATCAATATAATTAAATAATATCACTCAATCATTCTACATCAACTTCAAATCAGTTTTAATTATTTTATTTAAAATACTATTTTAATATAAACTCAAAATCCCACTAACAACTAACCATACCACTTTTTTTCAAAATTAACCATACCAAACCAAAAAATCCAAACCTTAATTATCGGCGATTCTCTAATAATTTTGCATTATTATCAAGCTTTACTAAATTCCAAACTATCATGAAGACTCCAGCAAAATATTTTTGAAACTTGTTTATTATCCTATTTACAGGACACTGGAACCCCAGATACTCGAGAAGATGACGAACAAGTGGATTTAAAAAAAACTGAAGGGGGCCAAAGCACTTCCAATACCTTACCAAAAAAAACCGATACTTATCTTCATGGTGATTCAAAACTGTCCACAAAAGATAAAGCAATAAGGCAACTGCAGCTGGACATGGACGATAACAAATTCAGCTATATTCCCCCGAGGGTCAACGTGAAGGTCACAGACTATGTCCATTATGCGAGGAAAAGGAAAGAAGTGCTTATCTATGCTGTCCATGCTGATTACTACATTTTACTTCGGTCTTGTGCTAAGGTTGCCCGAGTTGAAGCTAGGGTCATGCATACAGCAGTGCTGAGTTTGGAAAGAAAATTGCGGTGGCTGGAGAAAAGGGTCGATTCCTTGTTGAGTCTAAAACTGAATCTTAGTGACGATTGCAGTTTCTGCAAGGATGAATCTGTGGGGAATATTGTGGAAGATTCTGTGGATTTGGGAGATTGAGAATATGAGGGGGGACTTAAGAGGAGGGTGATCTAAGTAGTATAAAAATGATGGGCTTTTGTATTCTTGGTAGTAATCTGATTGGCTGCTTAAAATTATTAGGACCCAATGAGGCCTTCCCGAGACATCGGTTTCCATCTTGCGGGCCTGGCTTTTCGAGCACTTTCTTCACCCGTAAGTGATTCATGAGATTCTCTTCGATTGATTGTGAATATTAGGCGTAATTTTATCGAATGTTGTAAAATTTGTTGTTGGTGGTTGTTTTGGTAATGCAGGTATCCAAAGGAATTCTGAAAAGCTCATGCTGGCTATACAGACAGGATTAATAAGAAGTCAGGTGAAAATAGATTGGATTACTTCCCAAAATGCAATTTGTTGCATTCTATATATATGTGGTATTAGTTACATTTTCTAATATTCAATCCTTTGTATTGAATTAAAAGCGTAACTTATTGACGGTAGAATGTAGTTATGTTGTTGACTATTGATTCCTTAATTTCTGTTAACATAACTTTAGACTAATACAACTACATTGAAACTAGGAGAGTTAGGGAGTGCTTGTTTACAAATTAATCCGCTAAAAATGAGTTTTTTTTGGTTAATCTGGGTTAATTTTGAAAAAGATGGTATGATTAGTTGTTAGTAAGATTTTGAGTTAAAAGTAGGAGAGATGATATGAAGTGATAGTTAGTTAAAATTATGTGAGTGGATGAATAATGAATTAAAGTTGATGTGATGTGTAAGAGTGATTGGTTTGTATTATTTAATTTTATGAATAATATTAAGAATAGTGGGGTTGAGTTACATTTGAGTTAGATTTGAGTACGAATTAAATGTGACAAGCACCCCCTTAGTAGTTTTTAACTTTTTATGCCATTAGTGTGCAAAACCAAAAGCTTAAGGAAATTCTTCAACGAAATTTTTGTTACACTGAATATCTCAAAACCGAAGAAAATATGCAAGTCTTTTGATCTCTCTTTCTTTTTCTACTGGCATAGGTCTCAAACTGGTTCATAAATGCGCGAGTCCGCCTCTGGAAGCCCATGGTCGAGGAGATGTACAAAGAGGAAACAGGAGATGCTGACGTGGACTCAAACTCTTCTTCCGAGAAGACAAAAACAAAGGACAACAAATGCGAAGACTCCATGGGCCCGCGCCCCGTGGAATCGAAACCCACCGTGGGCCCAGACGAGATGCCCGCCTTTCAAGGGGATTACGGGACGGGAAAAACGAGAAACGGGCAGAATGTTCCTTTTCCTTACAACATGTCTGAGCTGGGGAGATTCGGTGGTGTAGACCCCGTGTCGCTTATGCTGGGGTTGCAGCAGGGAGGAGGTGGCGGAGGGTTGAACAATCACGGTTTTAATCCCCTGAGAGAAGGTGTAGGGTATAACGATGCAGCTGCGGCAGCCATGGCCAATGAGGCGGCAGCGGAGTTTGATTTTATGGATACGGGAAATCGGCAGCACCCGTTCATGTCCTCACTCCTTCCGTCCTTCTCGTGACCATAATAATGTTAATTGTTCGGAAAAAAGGTAAGATGAAATGGTCGAAAATCGAGTTGTATGGAAGAAAGGAGTGGTTTTTTTTGTTTTTTTGTTTTTTTTTTTCAGGCGAGGTTACATTGTCCCGATTAGTTTTGGCTGTGAACTTTTTGTCTTCGATTGGAGTTTGTTTGATTGTAGTAATTTTTTTTTGTGTGTGTGTGTGTGAAATTTATAGTGAAATATTTGAACGTGGTTTATGATTTATCTGCAAATGGCTTGAGGGTATTGTACTGAGTGGGAAAGCATGCTCACATGTGTGGTGGTGACTGATCCCGAGCATTCAAACTACATTCATAAGAAAGTACAAAGGAACCGTACTTTTGTAGTAATTACACAATTATAATAATCATTGTCATTTTTTATATGCAGTGTTATCTTCTGATACAATTTTAGCCAATTCTATTTAAATTGAAAGGGGATAAAAGATCTCTCATATGGTGACACTGTAGTTTCAATCCAATTTGCAAAAGCCATCCAAGAGTTGACTAGTTCATTGTTGGAACCCATCATAAAACAAAGCAAACCACAAAACAATTTGCTGTCAAAAGTAGGCAAGCTAAAATTGATAGGCAAGCAAGCAAGCTCGTATATAAGTATAAAACTTCTGTCAAATGATTGATTCATGTATGGATTATCAATGACACTGTACCATCACTTATTACACACCTTTCACAAAAAAAATTCCCAAAAAGAATGATAGAAAAATATGGCTCCGTATAAAAACGAATTGAAGTTTCCAATTCCAAATCTAGCTACCCGCTAGCTTTTTTGTTCCGAATGCTAAATGTATTTGATAATAAGATATGATCATGCAAACAGCATTCGAACCCAAAAAACGGACATACGACACGAAAGCGTGTTTATGTTCCTAATAGACCACATGAGCATAATTCCTTAACTTGTCAAATCAAGCTTGATCAATTTTTCTGACTGCTGATTTTCGAGACTTGGCTACAACTCAAATGAATAAGCTAAACAATGATAGAAAATTCTACTCAAGATATATATGCTCCATGTGATCCATTAAATAAATCAAACCAATATCAAATCAGTAGGAAAATCATAGATCGACCATTAAAGCCTTTTCTTCTCTTAAATCAATCAATATGTTTAAAAGCTCTAAGGTCTCGAACAATTCAAACAAAAGCATCACTGCTGGCAAGAAGTACACACACCTCCAAAAACATCAGAAAAATCAAGTGAAAGAAAAGCTCAAATGAGCTTGAAAGGGAGGGGCCATGGAGTCGACCTGGGTACCTCGACCTTATCCTTTATCCTCTCGATTTTCTGTTCCTTTTTCGGCCTGCAATTCCCGTACGAGCCTTTGAATCTTTTCCCTTTTTTGGTCTTCTTATCTCCTCGACCGCACAGGGTAGGCGCCTCCGCCGCCGCCGCCATGGGCGACGAGAGAGAGGATAAAGCCACCCGTCGCTCGGCGGCGGACGCGATCCTCCGAGCCGCGGCGCAGCACAGCTGCATCATCGAAGTTTCTCGAAGCCGATTGGCGGGTCGATTGATTGATTTCCGATTTCGTAATCGTAAGGAGATCTAAAACCCTAGCTAGTGAGGACCTGTGTTGAAAAATTATTGCAGAATTATTGCAAAATTTATATATAAGCCAATCCCAACTAACTAAGGTTTATGAATTTAACAAAACAAAACGACCGCAATGGCCAGGTGGAGTTTGTAGTCGAGCTCTAACAACTGATCGAACTCAATTATTAAACAAAACAACAAAAATTTTTCATGAATAATTCATTAAAAAAAAGTATAAATTTAAATAAAACATGAAGCAAGACTTGTTCGTAAATAATCTATTTTTTAAAAAAATTTCTTACAAATACAAATTTTATATAAAATTGAATTTGTCCGCGAACAAGTATTAAAATTGTGTTCACAATCACGCCTTCACGGACAATTCATTTTCGATTTTTAGTTTATTAAACGATCTGCGTGGAGCTTTAATGAATTTAAGTAATTCGAGCTCAAACCAAGCTGGTATAGACTATAATATGAACTACGAAATATCACACTCTAATGAACATAAATAGAACCGTATTTTTTTTTACAAATATGCAAATTACATAATATCACACTTTAATAAACGTATACATTATTTAAAGCATAACTAAATATCACATTTGATAGTAGTATACTTAACGGAGTATAGCGACCGGCCTCATAGTTACGATCAAGAATTTGTGCTTAGAAAATAGGAAAAAAGAACAAATGCAATATAGAGAAATATTGTGGTTCAAGTAAAATAGACTTCCTTTTAACCTCGACTGTTATTCCCTTTGAAAATGTTGAAACATTAATATTTTTTAAGAATCCATTCATCTAAATGAAGTGGACACCACAAGAGAGTAATATAACAAACAATCCAACTGATAAGATGAAAGAGTTCAATCACAAATTATCCCTTCCGAATTTGGATCAAATGCCAGACTACCCAACTCCTTCAAACGACAAATTCTCAGTTGAATCGATTTTTCACTCGTTTTCCAGTGATAAGAGTGAAATGAGTTCATAGACAAAAATATACACAAGTTCGATCAACCCTTCAATGAGTATTTCTTTCCCGTAAAAGCCTGAAATTTCGGCTCCTCACTCTTCGGAGGCTCTGGCTTTGCCTCTTTTGCAGTCTCCTGCAAATACCAAAGAATGTTACGATCCCAGCATCAACGTGCAATCTAAAATTGCTAGCTAATCCCATTTAATAAAACATTTAATAAAAATATTTTCACTTTCCCTCCAAAAGAAGTTACATGTTTTTTTAATTAATAACTCATTAATCTCACATTTAAGAAGGTTTTTATTGTTAAATTTAATTAGTTAATGACTAAATTAAAAAGATTTATTTTAATTAATCTCACATTTATGTTAAGTACAGTATCTTAATATCTTATCAGTTTTTCAAAAAAATAGTAACTTTTTTCAATAAATTTTATAAAAATTAGTCAAATGTGCTTATATTCATATAAATCAGAAAAAAAAAAATTAAATTTTAGATATATAAAAAGAACATCGTTGAAATAACTTGAATCCGCAAGGGTAATTCTATACTCATTATCAATTACTTATATAATAAAAAATTAATATTATATTTACTCATTTATATTTAGATGGTATTTTTTTTATTAAGAAGCAAGGACAATCTCTATCAATCAATAAGAGTCAAGGACAAACAATATAATGAAGTTTTTCCTATGCTATGACATGATCAATAAGAGTCAAAGACAGTCTCTGTCGCACGTCGGCTTACTACTGAAGAGCTAAATGAGTAATTATACGTGTCGCTTTTAGAGTTACGAGTCAGTGGGGTTTGAAGATTTTGATTTGAGCTGAGGGAGATTTTGACGATAAAAAAACCACGACGTTGTTTTATAAAGAAGTGTTTAAGAATATTTATATTTTTTTTCTTAATTTTTTTCAATGAATTTGTTATGATTTTTACTATTATTTATAATTTTTATTATTTTTTCATGTATCATATAGCTTTCCGTGCAAATGCACGGGATAAAAACTAGTATGTTTTCAAGAGCATTATCTGTATTCTTCTCAAAAAACTGAGTTACCACAGGGATTTTTCGCAATTGAAAAACGTTGCAAAAAACATTTTGAATTAAAGAAGAGAAGGGTCCTGAACTAGAGGCATACAAAACCAAAGAATGTTACGATCCTAGCCTCAAGGTTCAGTCTAAATTAGTAATTACTACCCAAACCAAGAAAAAAAAAAAGCAACTATCTAGTGAAAACACAATTACCCCCTTTAACATAATATGTTTTCAAGAGCATTATCTGTATTTTTCCCAATAAAAAAATGTTGCAAAAAACGTTTTGATAAAAAGAAGAGGAGGCATACAAAACCAAAGAATGTTATGCTCCTAGCCTCAAGGTTAAGTCTAAATTAGTAATTATAACCCCAACCAAAAAAAAGATAGAAAACAAAGAAAAGCAACTACCTAGTGAAAACACAATAACTCCCTTTAACATAATATGTTTTCAAGAACATTATCCGTGTTCTTCTCACAAGACGAATTGCAATAAAAAAAGCGTTACGAAAAACATTTTGATAAAAGAAAAACATTCTGATAAAAAGAAAAGAGAAAGGGAAAGGGCACCTTTTGTGTTTCCTTAGTGCGATTGGCATTTGAACCAAAGACTAGCTTTCCTTGAGACTGCCGATTGCTGCCTCCTTGTGAGCTGGAACTCGAGCCTGCGGCTGATCCTCCACTTGATGATGCATTATTGCCTTTGCTTTTGGGGGAAGATGAATTAAGTGGCGGAGGCTGTGTTTTCAAAGGTTTCCCATCCAAACGCCTCCCCGAACCAGTGAACGGATTAAATTTAGGTTCGGTCTCTTCTGCAGGTTCCTCGCCTGCCAAAACCAACCCAAAAATGGTGAGGCTAATGGTTTGGTAGAGGCCCTTAATGTAGATTTTAGGTTTACAGCACAAGTTCATCCAGTTGAAGTTGAAAGGAATATCACAAAAAAATTATCACCAAAAAAAGAAATATCAATTAGCTTTGGTCTTAAGAAAAAACATTTATCTATAAAGAAATTGTATATTAATATGGTATCATCAAAATGATTAGGGTGTGTTTGTATATAAAATACTCAATTCATACTCAAAATCTAACTCAATCCCACTATCCTCAATGTTAACAACATAAATAAATAATATCAATCAATTATTCTTACACATTAGATCAATTTTAATTCACTATTCATCCACTCACATAATTTTAACTAATCATCACTTCATCATCTCTCTCCTCTTTTACACCAAATCGACTTTAATTAGTTTATTTTAAATATTAATTTAATATAAATTCATAATCTCACTAACAACTAACCATATCACTTTTTTCAAAATTAACCATGCTTAACAAAAAAAAAAATCGTTTTGAGCGGATATATTTGTATCCAAGCATGCCCTTAATTGATGGCATCTCAGTTGGAAATGGAAATTTGAAACATTTGACTCAAAAGCATATAGAAGTTTATAAGGTAACTAAAATATGATGGGGCGGATAATAAGAAATTAGTTAAGAGTTGCACCTTGAACTGTTGCAGAAGGTAGGGTAGGTTTTTCCGGTTCCTTGTAATCAAGAGGAGGAGCAAAGTCCACTTCGCAATCGGTTTCAATAATACTTATCGCATTGGAAGGCTTCGCCTCGACTATGTCTATGTAATACTTTTTATTATTATAAGCCACCATGATGCTATCCCCTGTGGTCAAGCAAGAAAAGTTCCTCAGCGTTGTCTCCAAGCTGCAGAGAAAAAGGATTTTTAAAATTAAAAATCAAAACCGAAAAGCTTATTCAACCAGAAACTTATACATAAGATCAAAATTCCAACAAAAAAAGTGATCTTTGGCAAACAGATTAGTGCATGCTTGGATACAAAATTTTCCAAAAAAATTCAATCGTTTTTAAGTAATCACTTATTTTAACTCAAATCTAACTCAACTTTAACCCAACCCCACTATCCTCAATATTATCAATATAATTAAATAATACAACTCAATCATTCTTACACATTACATCAACTTTAATTCACTATTAATCCACGTGCATAATTTTTTAACTATCCATCACTTCACATCATCTTTTTTCTATTTTTAAATCATATCAACTTTACTTATTTTATTTTAAATATTATTTTAATATAAACTCAAAATCCCACTCACAACTAATCATATCACTTTTTTCAAAATTAACCATACCAAACCAAAAAATCCAAACAAAATCAAATATCCAAGCATTACAGATCGATCTTATGTACGTGTATCAAGGCTATTTCTAGTAGAATTTGTCCAACCCTTTCACCAAGTTTTGACAAGCATAAAGACAAAAGATCTATTTTCTGAAATTCGTGCAGAAAACAAATTCAAATACACTCACATAGCTTTCGGATTGGAAATATCCAAGAAATCCATAGTGTGTGGCTGCAATTTAACGTACGTGCCCTTAGGGAGGGTAACATTTTTCACTCGCACAAAGTCTCCTTCTTGTAAGAGTAGATTCTCCATCATCTAATGGATGGCACAATAATAGTTAAAATAATGGCTTCTGTTCGAAAAACTAATTAAACAAAACTATTTTGAAGTAAATAAACTTACCCAATAAGGCATATAGATCATGCCTTCTTCAGCAATGAACTCAAGAACCCCACAATGGGAAACACGCTCGGCAGCAGTATTTTGGAGCTCAAATAACATTGGGTAGTCAATATGAAGTGATGCTATTAAGACAAGGTTAAACACCAAGTTTAGATCAAAGATAAATAATGCAAAGAATGATAGAATATTAATAAAAAAAAATAATCAAAACAGAAAAGGCCGTGGTCACTTACCAAGACGATCCAGAGCTGAAGGAGGCATGATAACTGGACAAAAGTAAAGGAACATTAAGATACCATGAAAAGAAGAAAGGATAAACTCCCTACATTTATAGCCAA